AAATTTTTATCTGATATTAAAAATTATTTTTAAAAGTTGCAGGCAAATTTGGCTGCAATACAATTTAAGGGATATATCTAAATTCTTTTGTATTTATCTATTTATCTTCTTGTTCTCCTATATTTGTTTCTACAATTCTAATTATATTGTAACCTTCTGACTTACTAAATTCAGCAAATTGTTCTACTTTCATATTATCTTCCTTGACTCTATTAATATTATATACTCTATTTTTATGATATTCTTCTTCTTCTTCATATTCCTATTGCTACTCTTATATGTTTTATTTTTCTGCAAACTATCCTTATCTCTCACTATTTCTTCTTGCCTTTGGTTTAGACTTTCTTCTGCTTCTATTCTTCCTTCAAGTTTTCCTTCTTGAATGGAAGAGGTTTTTATTAATTCAACTTTAGCTAAATTTATAAGTGATTTAGAACTTCAAGTTCCAAATTACTTTTAAAGCTGCTCAGTTTCCTTTCTAATCTCTGTATATATTGTACTATATAATTAAGTAATTCTTCATATTTATTTTGTTCTGAAGCTTCTCTTTTTCTTCATTTAAGTAGTGATTTCTATTTTTTTTGAAGTTATTATCTCTTCTTTCAAATGAGCTTCTTCTCTTTTCTGACTTTGAACTATTCTTATATCATAATTTACTTCATTTTTATCTTTATGTCTTGTTTCTTCTAGGTTTACTATTCTTTGATTATAAGATCTTTGTCTTCGTTTCTTGTTTTCCTCCCAACTATATTCTTCTCCTATAGGAAACTCTATTGTTTCACTGTATAGCTTTGTATTATAATATAAAATATTAAACTTTTATATATGTATTATATCTTTCTATTTCCAAAAGATACTACTATATATCTCTTATTATTACTATTCAAATTTTTAAAAATATGAATTGCCTTTGCTTCTGTGTATCTCAGTTGTCTGAAGAGTAGTACCTCATTTACACTTTGCAGTATGTTAAAGATCTTTTTTATAAATTGCTTATGATTTTCTAGTATCTCTCTTCTACTTAGAACTGGAGTTATACATACAAGTAAATTGCTTGTAAGTAGAATAATTCAAGCTTTTATACTTTGAATAAAGCTACTTTCTTCTTCGAAGGTTAATTCTGCTCTAAGATTTTTCTATTTTTCTTAAATTATTTCGATATTTTTAACTCTTCCTATATGTTTTATTATATAAAATACTTGTGTTCTTGTTATTTGGTATGGAATATTTTATACTGTAATCGATTTTTTAATTCTTGAGATATAGTTTCTTTGTTAGCTCTGTTCATTACTTTTTGTAGTTTCATTCTTTCTTACTTCTCAATTTTCTTGTTCATATATTCTTCTTTTTCTTTTATTAACTTTTTGTAATAACTTCATTTCTTCTTCATAGCTTGTTACTAAAGTTTTCTTTTTTTCTTTAGTACTACTCCTTGAGCTCTCTCTTCTTTCTGATTGCTTAAGTACAATTACTCTTTTCTTTTAAATTTTGTTAAGTTCTACTTGTACTAGTTATTCTCTTTCATGTTTTTTATTTTTTTTTAATTCTACTATCTTACTTTCTATGCTCTTTTTTTTTTAAGATCTTCTTCTATTATAAGATTCAGCTGATTAAAATCTTCTTTCCTTCTTTCAAGTCTTGATTTAGCTTCTTTATATTCTTTTTTGTAGTCGAAATGAATAATACACTATAAGTTTCTATTTGCAAACTTGTCTTGAACCTTTTTGATATATTTATTTTCTCTTAAAGACTATCTAATTAATTTTTTTCTTTGTTCTATATTATTGCTTAATACTTTAACTACTACTACCTTAGCTTTAAAATCTTCTTTTTCTTTGTGTATTTCTGCTTTAAATACCTATATACTACTTTCTAAAGATACACTACCAATTTTTATTTTTTCTATTTCAGACAATTTTTCAAGTTTGTCTTCTATTTTGTCTTTAGCTGTACTAATCTCTATACTATTCTCTATAAGACATATGTCTTCTATATCTTTTTGTGTATCTGCTTCTTCTATTTTTTTAGTTACTATACTTTAGGTTATATCTTCTAAAGGTTTTATACTTTGTGTCTCATCTATTACTACTATTGTTATACTTTCTACTCTTATTTCTACTTCTTTTATCTCTTTTATCAATTTTTCTTGTACTTGTTCTAAAATTGCCTTTACTCTTTCTATTA